TCTCCTTGCAACATTGTCACGTACAGACAGTGAACTTGTATCTTTCCACAAGACTGTCCTCTGAGGACCAGGACATCATATGATTATTATTATTATTTGGTGGTGGTGTAGATTGAACCCAGGGCCTTGTGCGTATGAGGCAAGCACTCTACCAACTGAGCTTTATCCCCAGCTCCACATTGTGTGATCTTTATGTCTTCTGGTATCTGGTGCAGTATCTCTTAAAAGCAAAAATCAGTCTTGTTGAATTGGAATATCAGGAGCATATCAACCACTGTTGGGATGATCTGACAAGGCTCTCTCAGAGTTTTTTCTAATTATGTTTTCATTGTAGTTGGGTATGGTCGTGCACTTGTGTAATATCGGAGACTCAGGAGATTGAGGCAGGAGGATTTCAAATGTGAAGCCAGCGTCAGCAACTTAGTGAGGCTCTAATCAACTTAGTAAGACCCTGTTTCAAAAATAAAAAGGGTTGGGGCTGTATCTCTGTGGTAAAGTGTTCCTGGGTTTAATCCCCTATACCCAAACACAAACAAACCCCCAAAACAAACAACAAAATAAAGGCAAAAAAGTTTTCATTGTAGAAAATTGGAAAAAATTAGAAAAAATACTAGAAGATAGAAAATTTGCATAATATTCTCACCTATTATTAAGCATTTTGAATTTTTTCATTTTTTATACTTAAATATTGTTTTATAATTATGATCATGCAGTAGCTACAGTACCTAATACTTTTCTCCTTATATTCTGATCAATTTTTCATAACTAAAGATCTTTTATTTGATTTGGCATAGTGGCACACAACTGTAATCCCAGCTAATTGGGAGGCTAGAGCAGGGGATCAAAAGTTCAAGGCCAGCCTGGGAAACTTAATAAGACCCTGTCACAGAACAAAAGAATAAAAAAGGATGGGGATATTGCCCAGTGATAAAGCACTTACCTAAGGTGGAATGCCCTGGGCTTGATCCCTAGTACAAACCCCCACCTCCAAAGAAAAATTTTAAGTCTTTTTTTTTTTTTTTACCAGGGATTGAACCCAAGGGTGCTTAACCACTGAATCCCATCCCCAGCCCTTTTTATATTTTATTTAGAGACAGGGTCTCGCTAAGTTACTTAGGGCCTCACTAAGTTGCTGAGGCTGGCTTTGAACTTTGCCATCCTCCTGCCTCAACCTCCTCCTGCTGCTGGGATTACAGGCTGCACCACCTTGCCTGGCCAAAAAGTTTTTAAAAAAAATGATGTCATAATATTTGTTTGCATATCTTTGTCATAATTAATCATGGTGATTTAAAAAGTAAAACAGCATAAGGATTTTCATGGGCTTCAACTTTTACAAATGTTGATATTAATGAAAAGTCAGAAAAGAAATACTACTTGTATTGGAGGGACTGGGCCAGGTAGGGTGGCAGGTTTGGCTCCAGGCTGTCCCTTGGGTTCTGAGCGTTATCTTGAGTCAGTTGTGGTACATCTGGCAGGTGATCTGGTAGTGTGGACTGTGGAGCCAGATTTGAGGAGTGAAAGTCAAAGCTGCAGTGCTCAAGCCAGGGCAGGGACCAGCAGTGAAGTCGCATCTCCACCTCTCAAGACTGTCTGGCTTATTTTGTGGTATCCTAGTTGGTAGAACCAAATCTGGTAGGTGGAAATTACCACCAAACAATTTTAACTCACTAAATAAGTTTGAGAGCTGTTCCAAAAAGATACAGAATACTCCATGAGGTGTGGAGGTATTCGAGCAGGGCCTGTGGCTTCTGGAATGTCAGAGGGTAGGAGTCACCTGCAGTGTTGTTTATGATCTGTGTCTTGAGTGAGCAATGAAATGGGCCTGAGCCTTTCAGAATCACGTGCTTTAGAAAAATAAATAGCAGTATTTAATCCAAAGCCACCTGTTTTCAATTCTCAGCAGTCTAGAGACCTGACAACACTTTCTGAAACCTAAGTTGTGGTCTGACAAGGCCCATGGCTTATCCCCCACCCTTGGCTTCCTTTGGTCTTAAAAAGTCACATTTATGTCTCTCCCCAGTCTAGCAACAAGGCTCACAGTCAGGATCAGTGCACTGCCAGTGTTGGTAACAGTGATGGTGGGAGCTTCATTCAGCTGCTTCGTTGAAAGAACCCCAAACTCAAGATCTCTGTTGTCCCTGGAGGTTTTTGTTCCTGAGATTCTGACCATCCACCTGGAGTCGGCCTTCAAGATTGCAGCAGGCTGTGACTGGGTCTTGGGTCTTTTAAGAGCTCACAGTTAAGGCTGAAGAATAATAAAAGCCTCCCTCTAGTGGCTCAAACTCAAACTCTTTCTTGCCCTGTAAAGGACCCAGAGGGAGTTTGCAGGAGCCATTTCAAAACAGGATTGAAATTCCAGGGCTCTCCTGGTGGATCCCACACTAGGAGCCCGGCACATAGTGCGCCTCCCAGCTGTGGCTGTGCCAAGAGCTTCAGCCACTGCCAGTGCAAACTAGCCCCTGAGAGCATGCGACCACCACCTGGTCCCCGCCCTCCTAGGCCCGGCCTGCCTCCAGCCCTGGAGTGTTTCTCTCATAGAGTTGCTATTTGATGGGGGAATGAACTACCTGGATTTCCTGAAATCCTGAGCTTTGAGTTCTCCTCCCTCTCCCACCTACTTGGCATCTTAGGCTTCTTGTAGAAGGGGGTGGGGGAATCTTTACAGGTCGATGACATTTGTCCCAGTGTCACCTTTTGGTTACTCAATGAGTTGAGGCTGTTATTAGTTAGAACTTAACATCTGTAGACTCCCACCCCAGGCTGGGGGCCACCATCTTTCTCCTAGTGAAGTTTTTGTGAAATTCAAGATGTAGAATTCCATCTCTGGTGGATATACGTAATGTTATTACCCGTGAGAGGTGGGGCTATGAGGAAGATCCCCAACCAACAGGGAAAGGGGAGACTCTCATACCAGAGAGCAACAGCCACTTTCTTTCTTCAGACAATTCCATTGCAGATTAAAAGGTATCCCCAGTTCCTTGGTACCTAACTGCCTGAGGAGCCACAACCTTTTGGCAAAGTGTGGCTTATCCACAAAGCTGTGCCACTCCACTTTGTATATGTGAGCCATCACTTTCTCTGAACTGTCATCACTCTGGCTTGATCCTCCTTATTATATAGAAGAGATGCTTTTAATAAGAGTATTTATTCATTTCAGTACACCGTCAGCCCGCTGTCTCTGTGGGTTCTGCATTGGTGGATTTAACCAACTCCCAATGGAAAAGTCTACATTGAACACACACAGACTTTTTTCTTGTCAGAGTTCACTAAATGATATAGTGTATCAACTATATACAGCATTTACATTGTTTTATTATAAGCAATCTAGAAGGAAAGCATCCAAAGGGAAAATGTGGATATGTTGTAGGCAGATGCTATTACATTGTATATAAGGAACTTGAGCACCTATGGATTTTGGTGTTTGTGGTGACTTCTAAAACCAATCTACTGTGTATACCAAGGGATGGCTGTATAATGTACTCAGATGGAAGCCCCTTGGACTTGTGACATAAAGATTTCTTTGCCTTGCATGGTGGTGCACACCTGTAATTCCAGCAGCTCAGGAGGCTAAGGCAGAAGGATTGTGTGTTCCAAATCAGCCTCAGTAACTTAGCAAGACCCGGTCTCAAAATAAAACAAAATAAAAAGGGCTGGGGATGTGGCTCAGTGTTGAAGCGCCCCTGGGTTCAAGTCCTGGCACCAAATAAATAAATAAACAAACCTTAGAATACAAGAACAAAATAAGGTGAGGTTAACAAAACTTATGGTGCCCAGTAGCCTAAATAGTATTTCTTCTTACCTTTGGTCACAGTCATGTGAAAGGGCACTCACATGTGTAGCTGAAATGCAAATGAGACCAACTAAACCACTTAGACTCCTGTAGCCCTGATTGTCTCAGAGGCCAGGCTTCTCTCCTACTCTGACATCTCTCTCTGAAGCACTGGTTAGCATCAGGAGTATGCGCTGTCTGTTCTGGAAAAAGTATCAAGTACCAGGATTTTCTTGACCCAGTCAAGTGAAGAATTCTAACTCCCCCTTAGCTGGTTCACATGGTACACCAAGGGCCCTGGACGGGAGGCATGTAGAAGTGGAGAGGAGTGGATCTTTTTCTTTTACCACCATGACAGCGCCCTGACAGCAGAAAATCTAATACTGTACAACATTAAAACATTTAATGCACTTTGGGGAGGAGTCAATTTCCTGGATTAAGTACTTCCCATATAATATGTCAGTGAGGGAAAGGAAGTTCTCCCTCTTCCAAGTCCCCAGTGAATGATGCAAGGGACCTCCTACTGGGAAAAGCCAAACCCGGTGACTTTACAGGAAGTCATGGTCACAAAGGCCTGGGTGAGATCATTCTCTCCCTTACCCATGTGCTGGCTTCCACAGGTGGGAGACTATTATTCTGTCCATTTATGCAGTGAAACTGTCAAAGGGTAGCAGTAAGGAAAGGAGGAAGAAAGGGGATCTGATTTCTTGTTCTTTAAAGACACATTAAATAGATCAAATCTCAGCGGCTCAGGAGGCTGAGGCAGAAGCATCAAGCCTCAGCAACCTAGGGAGGCCCTAAGCAAGTCAGTGAGATCCTGTCTCAAAATAAAATACAAAAAAGTGATGGGGATGTGGTTCAGTGGTTAAGTGCTTCTGGGTTCAATCCCTAGTACAAAAAAAATCAAAAAGAACAATCTCCCCCCCCGCCCCCCCAAAAAAATCCCAACAGATCAGCAGGTCTCCGGCTGTAGCTCAGTGATGGAGGGCTTACCTAGTGTGCTCAAACCCTGGGTTTGATCACTACCACAGCCAACAAAACAAAACAGACATCAAAAACAGTCTGAGTGGCATATTTCCGACTGGACTTTTGCTGAGATGTGGTGTGCTGATGGTTCATGTGTTTGGTCACTACATGGATTTAAATCTACTGAGCCTGAAGGAGATCAGAAGTGAAATGAAACTCTGATAAACATTTAATTTTCTTGGAAAAAAAAAATTGACAGGAATAATAAAGTTTCAGATGTTTTTTATTCAAAGGTTCTCAAAAGAAATAAAACAGAAAAAGCTAACAATCTGATCAAATGTACAGTTCAAAAATGTCTTTTGGCGTTTAACAACAAGTCCTAGGAAAGAAAACTACAGAGTTATCTTGAACCGGACAAATAAGTTACCACTGGCAAGTTTGTGGCACTAGTAAAACAAAAATAAAAAATTAACTCTCTTGATCATATAGATATCTCTATGAAAATCTTTTTTTTTCAATCTGTACAAAAGGTCTTTCTTCATAAATTAATTTTTTATAATTTAATGGCTGTCTACTATGTGATGTTTAACTGATTTTTTTTTATTTTTATTTTTTTTATGTACAGAGGTTATGTTTCCCAAATCTTACCCAGACGAGTATGGCACTTAGTTCAGACATTTCTAGCAGCAGATTTCCCCTCCCCTCTAACTGAGCTATCAAATTTCTGTCTTAACTAATGCAAAAATATCAAGTAGTGAGAGACCCAGGTTTATAAATGTACTAGGTACACGGAGGGTGCTGCGTTCAGTCTGGACTTTCACAAAGCAGTAATATTCCAGGGAGCGTAGAACCAATAATACCACAACTTTAAAAAAAAGGAAACAAAAACAAAACAAACACATTTCTCTTATGACTATGTAATTTTCACTAGAATCTACACTTCTCAGAGCAGCAAGGATTTTTGAAACTATGAAATGTCACTGACATCTATAATCAAATACAAGCAATAAAATTTAAGAACTAAAAAATACTCAAAAGAAATAACTGCTTAGGCCTAGCTCCTGAGCTAGGAGGATTTGGTCTGTGGAAACAGGGAGGGCCAGCAACCTGTCCCAGCACAAAAGAAAATAGACTCTGAGGTAGATAACTGATCATACACAGCTGACCAGACAAGTACACAGTTTTGGAAGACAACTTAATTTACCATTGCTTTGAAAACATATGCAATTGCCTTAATAAAAGAGCTTTAATAACAGTGAATCATCTCATATGTACTAAAGTAGAAATAACTGTGTATTTATGAATCAGGAATTTCATAGTTTCAAAATTGGTTTTCTTTACACTTGAACACTTGTAGTGATGATGTAAAGTGTGGCACTGCTTGGATCCAAATCTTCCTTCATGCTTTTTTTTTGTTTGTTTGTGTGTGTCCATACATCAATTAAAATTATAAAACCTAAATTCAAAGGTACAAAAAAGGCACATTCTCCTAACCGCAAACTGGTCCGGCAAAAATAAAGAGCACAGAAGATGTGATGCTGAGACAAGTTGGAGCTACTGGTTACTGGCTCTTCGGTCTTTGGTGAAGTTACCTTTAAAAGTGCCAAGTCATTTTTATTTTTCAAATTTACCTAATAGAGAGAGAGAGAGAGAGAGAGCTAGTAGCCAATCATTTCGCTTCTATTCATATCTCAGCTTATGTTTGAAGAGAAATCCTTACTTTTAGCTTTTGCCATTTAGTTGCAATAGCAACATATTTTTTTTTTGTTTTTGTTTTTGTTTTTTTTTTTCAGTTTGCCAGATCGCAGGCATAATTCTCATTCTAAAGCACTATCATTAGTATAAAGGAAGGACAAAACATTCGGTGACTCCCCTCCCCCGCCCCCCTCCCCCAGCCCCAACACTACCTAACACTAAATCTAGAACATCAAGTTAGTTTTTGTTTTTTTTTTTCTTCCTGAAAAAAGGCAAAAAAGACTTTACATTGCATCATACAGCAGATATCCTAAATCGGTCAAACTATCAGAGGAAACTGTCGGCATACAGCCTTACAAACGCTTTAACCCTATTAAAAGTTCCCCAGTCAGAAAATGTGTTTCACACAAAACAGTTTTTCCCTTCTTGCATTTCACTACCTTACACATTATGTGAAAAATCATTAAAAACACCTACTACATATTTAAAAAAGCCAAAATTTCAGCAACTTTTATTGACTACCTTTTAAAAGCCCTATGCTGCTGTTTTACAAGGCATAATAGACCAGCTCATTTGGTCAAAGCATTCTACATCATTAGTTTGAACTAACTTTTACTGAAACAGCTACAGCATCAAAAGAGTTAAGGCAAATTGGAATTCATAGAAAAGGATAAGACACTTCACACTACGTTGAAAGAAAAACAGAAAGCTAAGGAAAGAGACGTGACGGCAACACTGAGTTACAGCAACACTCGCACGGCAAGCATGGAACACCATGGGTGAAGTCGGACTAGTTAAACTTCAGAAAGCCCATTTCATACAGCTGAAAAAAACACAAATTAAACACAAAATGAACAAAACCACAAAAATCCGGTCATGCACTTGGATAAGTCTTCATGGTCTTTGTGCATACCCAGAAAATTGAAGTTTTCTTTTTCTTTTTTTTTTTTTCTTTTTTGCATCATAACATTTGATAAAAATCTTTTTTTTGTTGTTTTTTTTTTTTGGTTTTTTTTTGTTTTGTTTTTTACTAAAATAAACCTGTTCAGGGGAACAGCTACTAGATGAATTTAAGGGTTTTATGCACCTTATAGAACTTATAGCAAAAATAGTTTTAGTTGATTTCATTATAAATAACGTTTTCAAGAACCTGTGCAAAACTGTCAATAATTTCCTAAAGCACAATTGATCAGAAAAATCCATGATTGTTCAGCCTTCACACCCTTCTTCATGTAAGAACACCCTTCTGTACATCTGCAAGAGAAAAATAAAAGACAAGTACTTTTGTGGTCTCGATATAATACACCATAGAGCTTATAATCTTATTTAAAGAGAGAGAGATTTGAAAAATGCTGTGCTCATCACTGATGTTTCATGGAGAGATGCAAACTCTGGACCTAATGGTCACTTTCAATGTTTTGAATCTGCCTTTCAAATATGGGACTTGCAAAGTACTTTCCTCTCTAAGGGAATCAGAGCCAAACTCATGTGGGTCTCTAAAGAACAAGGATGACTTTATAAAACAAACAATACATATTGTCAGCAGGGCAATCCAGAAACCAGGTTCCATATAGCTATTTTACTATAATATACATGGTAAAGTAAAAAAAAAATGGTACTTGTGGGAATACAATCTTTTAATCTAAGGATACTGACACTAGCAATATCTTGACTATGAGTTTGGACTAATCTTGTAATGCTTGATAAAGCAACATCTTATGCTAAATTGCCTTTAGTTTTGAGTACTTGAGAATATAGTATAGGATACTTATATAATAAGTTTGATACATGATGTTCTATGATGTTACAGATCTTACTTTTTTTGAGGGTTGGAGGAGTGTGTGTATATGTGTTTGATTTCAATATAAAGTGTTATTCTTTTTGCATAGAACAGTGAATCTGCAAACTAACAAAATCATTGATTTTAACATTTTAACAAGATTGGATGCCCTGGCTAGAATGAAATCAAGTATGATCGATCTGAGTTATTCTAAGCATCATTTTGATAAAGGAACCACAGACTGCCTGATTGGCGCCTTGGTAATGGAGACCTTTCTCTCATACCTCACAGTTACTTATTGGGTTGAAAGGAATATGGAGAATGGTCATTAGACGTCTCTACAGCCACCTGCTGCTGACCACTCGCCTCCTACAACAAAGCAGAGCAGATGAAATGTGTTAGTGATAAAATCCTAACTCTGCTACTTGGGTCTAAGTCAAAAGCATACACCTGAAAATAAGCAGTTTTTAAAGTGAATTTCTTAATATTATGCAGAGCTTTTTAGGTTAATCATTCCCTCAAGTAGCTGAAATGTCTGATAGATACTAAGCACCTCTCATCCAAATCTTTGACTTGTCTATTCTGATCAAGCTACATTTATCAAAGAAATTTCTTAATCTGTTTTTCCCTGGGGTCAGACGTGATTTACAATTCAGCATTTTAAAGGTTCAGAATCTGAGACATGGTATGAAATATGCTGTATATCATATAATACCCTCAAGTAGGGCTTAGGGATGTCCCTCATAATCAAACATATCAGTAATTCTATACAGAACCAAGTGTATAAACACAGTAACTGGGACAAATGTATCACCTTGTCTCAGTTCAAGTTGGTTTTTTTGAAAGGTCAGAATTTTTGCTAAGAAGTTAGTCACAAAGAGAATTTTTATTTTCAAAGTTTTTGGAGGGTTTCAAAATTGCTGTGATAAGGAATTGTGGGCTCCGAAAACTGTAGTTCCCATAATCACACAATGAAAGGCAAATAATAAGAAGACATGGTTCTTTGGCCCTTCTTGGAAATGGGAGCCATTGTGTTCTGCCCAATGCCTACTGGGAAAGAGCAAGTGAGCTGAGTATTTTCCTTGGAATTTTAAGGATGTTCTGTAGGAAAATGCTGTTTCCTGTCCAATCATAATCAGATGCCAGACTTCTTCCATACCAGCTCTAGTGACAAGAACTAAAGAGTTATTTAGCTACACTAACACCCTTTATAAAAATAGGTATGGCTTCTCTCCCACGTCTGCTACATCAGCTTTCCTTTTTCATTAACTATCTGAATCGTGACTGATTTCTTTTTGTGAGTATCACCATTGATACAATTTTTAGGACTAGGATTACAAACTCCAATTTTATCTCAATTTAGGGATGACAAGACAGAGCTCTGGAGGGGTGAAAAAGGTGCTACAAGCTTGGAAAATATTTCTAGGAGTTCTTGGGGATATGGCCTGGATGTTGTTATTCTAATTTGTAACAATTATATTTTATAGTCTCAAATAACATATTCCCTCTAAAGTCAATCCTTTTATGAAAATATTTGACTTTTGATAGATTTTGCTTTCAGTTCTACTTAATTCACTCTTTTTGAAACTACCCATTGCCAGAATGGCCATTTAATACTCTGCACCAACCTCGACAGGAACCGCCGTCGTCTGCATGTGTGTATACTGTGGCAAGTAGGCTCCTTGCATAGCTGACGTTGCAGGCATGTACTGAAAAGAAGGAGGAGGTCAGGATGGACAATGGAGAAACCACGCAAAATGTGGAGTACTCAGGGAATTTTGAGCTGGATATAAAATATATGGAGTTCTCCAAGAAGAAATTTAAATACGCTACCCTCAAAGTTTTATTAGTCCATGTAAATATGTCATATGGAAGGCAAAGTCATTATTTTCTACATTTTGAATTTGTCAAACTATAAATTCCATGTTGTCTTTGGATTTCCTAACAAAGAAACACACAGGTGAAGATCATTAAAGTCTGTCATCTTCAATAATTCAATATCACTAATGCATCATTCTAGATATCTTTTCTCAGAAGACCTTGTTATTATCTAGCAGCTCCCTGACTTGTTACCTAGTACTGTTTCTACAGGTAGAGACCTAAATGTGGATGTCTTATTGGACCTTTCACTGAAGATTAGGCCAGGGAATCCTGATTTCCTGATGCTGAAGTCACTCTTAAAGGCAGGAGGAATTTCTGGTCCATCTCAGGCTGTGTATGGCTCTGGCTTAGTCTGCACAAGAAGTTGCTGCTGGTTATGAGTGTAAAAGGGGAAAATGCACCACCATTTGTTCTTTTGAGCCACTATAGATACAGGCTGCATCAAACTCCTGTGGGCATCTCTTACAATTTAAACTATAAACAAACCAACATGGATCTAGTACCAGGTCAACCTCATTACCCCACCAAGTCCCCTGGACTCTAGTGAAATAAGTCATGAAGATCATGATTTAGTGCTCTCAAATTCTAAAACAGAAGGAATAGGTGAGGGAATATTTCCTATTTTTGCTACCATGTGTCACCTTCATCCTTTGCTGCATGAAATGGTACTTCATGATATACCAGTGACATTAGTTGAAGAAGCTAGATGTGGCCATTTGTGGGTGCTAAATTTTGGCAAAGGGGAAACCTAGAGAACAGACTTTCATTTTTTCACTTAATCAAGAAATTGAGTTTTTTCTTTTTGGAAGGCAATGTAGGGTGGGGCTGGGGCCAGGCATAATAACTGTCATCATAGAACCTGTGATTCTATAGGGTAGGCACAGGTGTGCATTAATTTACCCTCCTCTATTTGCAGAGACACATGATATTAATTTGCCACCTACTGTTCCGGTGCTGCCTAGTGAAAGATGACTCATCTGCTGGGCCAGAGGGCTGATCATAGATGCAGGCTGTAGTGACATGGTATGCTCCATTGAGGGAGTTAACACGGCACCCTGTGGAAGGGAGACAGAAGCAACAAAGGATAAACTGAGAGGAGTTAAGATTCTATAATTACCTTTTGCAAAGGAAATCCCTTTGTGAGTAATGTGAAGCAAAAATAACATCTTTCAGACTGGCAAGGGGTATCAATAATAAATAAGGTTCAAAAGTCTTAATAGATTGCTTTTCCTGAGACTTTGTAAGAGTGTTAGGGGAAATGGTATTTTGATATTCACTTCACAAAAATTCCTGCATTAAACACTACCCTCACTTAACTGGGAAGCTGCTTAGTCCAGCAGGAGGAGCTATAATAGCAAACACAAATTACAGACTCTCCTTGGCTGGCAAAGGTATAAAATGCTTAAAAAAGACAGGTGATGTTTTCTGTAGCTGCAAAAGAATAGAACCAATAATAGTGATCTGTTTAAAAATGTTCTATACAGAGAGCCCTTTGTTTCAAGATTAAGTAGTTGGGATCAAGAGCATTCTTCACTCACTCATTGGTTCTCAGAACTTTTTGTGATTCTGGTGCCAAAAGAGGGAACATTAACCAACCAATTCCAAGTTCTTCCATTTCATTTAAAAAATATTGGTCATTAAAAATCAAAATTTTTAAAAAATTTTGGGGTACTGGAAATTGGACCTAGGGATGCTTTACCACTGAACTAAATCCCTGGCCCTTTTTATTTAAGATAGGATCTCACTAAGTTGTTGAGGCTGGTCTGCAACTTGCAATCCTCCAGCCTTAGCCTTCTGAGCTGCTGGAATTACAGGTGTGTGCCACTGCTCTGGACTAAATTAAACATATTTAAAAAAAAACAGGGAAGAAAAAAAATCACCTATAATCCAGCCTCTCCCATAACAACCACAATGTGCCCGTTCCTGCCTCTGCATGTTTCTCCATAGTTGCAATAAAAGAACATGAAGAATTTCATATCTTGGGTTTTTACTTTTAACTTAGCATTGCACTATAAAAATTAACAGATTGCACAGTTGTCACTGTCATCATTTTTAATGCTTGGATCATGGTTCACTGACCGTCTACACCAAAATTTAATTAATTATTTTTGGACTTTAATTGTCCATTTTTTTCTATAAACTGGATTTTATCATTCCTCTTTTCAGTTGGCCAATTACCTGATGGTGCAAGTATTCTAACATACTCCACAAGTACTAATGTACATTCTGGCTTCATTGTAACTGATATCCTTTAAATAAGTTATTTGTTTTGCTGATAATCTAATTATTGATAATTAGATGCACAGTTGTGGGCAGAGGCATGTGCGAAGGCAGGCAGTTTGGATCTGGGTGGGAAAAGGTAATGAATTCTCAGCAACGTTCTATATACATTCCTCATGTCTCCTGAAAGATGATAAACTAAAATATGTGCAATCTTTGTCTCTAAAAGTTGTCAAAGGGGGAAAAAAGATACATTCTACTTCTAATGTGCATTATCAAAAGCACAGAGTAAGATGAACATGACTCAGAAGTCCAGAAAATGGGGAAGGAGTTTCCTGATCATTTTGCTCATGTACACATAATACACATCACAAATCCACACATGGCCATGAATATGTGCACAGATGTGTCCCAGTATGAAATATGCGTATATACCACATAATACATGTACATTCATAAGCATCAAAGATATCTTTTCCTGTGATATAATATCAACCTGTTTTATTAGCTTCCTAAAGGTCATCTCAAGCATTTCTTGTTCAAAACTAGTTATGCCTAGATTGCTATTTCATACATACAGTCATATAGTGCAGTGCCCACTTTAGGAGAGGTATTCTGGGACGAATTTCCATCTCATCTTAAGACCAAAAGCCAAGTTCTCTTCCTAAGCAACAGATCTATGTTTATCTTACAAACTCTGTAAACTGATTATCAGGATCCCCCATTCTGCATTTGTCACCAGAAAGCTGAGGTCCAAATCTATGGCTTTCTTAACAGCAAGAATGCAGGTCAATGTAGGCATGCTTAGCTTTGTGATTTCATTCTGAAGAGTAGCTCATTTAGAAAAAGTAGTACTAGATACACATTCGATCAACAGGTGCTCAAGTCACCAAAGAAATCACATTTGTTATTTATCAAAGAGTGAATTATACTAAACGGTTCCTGATTTCCAAAGAGGCTAATAACACAGATGAAAATCTGTATCTTTACTTTAGGGTTGCATTAAACAGTAAAAACATGAGTGCGGTTTCATCAAGTATTGTAAAACATTGTCACTCAGATCTCCCCCTGAACTGATGTGAGCAAGAAATAGTGTCCTGCCTCCAACAGAGTATGTTTTAAATTCTTATGAACAAATATATTTAATGCTTACTACTGATTCATTTTAACCTGTGCACTTTCATATTCCATGCTTAAAATTTCCCAAGTCCCTTATCACCTTTGGAAAGGGGTTTTAACCTGAAGAGTACACACATGGCTTACTTGCAGGCAGAACATTAGGCCACTGAGGTGAACAACTTACGGGGTGCTGCAGGATATATGGTTGAGGTTGCATCCAAGAAGGACTTTGCACCTAGAAAAGGGAGAATTTTAAAGAAACAATGATTTCCATTGTAATAATTGCCTAGTTCTCTTTTAATTGTGTTAAAAATCTACAGAAGGAAAATAAGGAAACAATACTATCAATGAGTAAAAAGATTAAGGCAGTTAGCATTCTTGGCAAACTGGTCACTCTGAATGGGATGAAATAATTATTTAGAACCAATTTCTATTAGCCCACTCAAGAAGTATTTGCTGAGTATCAGGCAACAAAGAGAAAAAAGTGAATAAGACATGGGACCCACCCTCAATAAATTTACTGTCTAAAGCAGAGAAGATAAGTATGTAAACGTCTCAAATTAGTGAAAAGTGTTACAATCAAGGTATGAACTAGGTGCTTTAGGATATGGATGAAAGAGGATTAATTCTAGAGCATCTGATTAGAAACTAACCCTCAAAGTATGGGCTGACTTAATAAAAATAACCAAATTCAATCTCTCTCTGATACTCAGGACATTAGGTTTCAAAAATCTTACATAGTAGTCAATAATTTCTACTTAGTGAAGAAAACAAATATCTGAAATTCAGATTGAGGAAATTAAACTTTAGTAACTATATCTGACATCTACAGTTAAAAGGGCATCCACACAGAAAGAAGACCCTCTGAACTGAGAAATAAGATGTGAGGGTCAGGCTTGTGGCAGGAATTCTGGCTTGTGCAGTCTGCCACTCGGGAGAGGGATAACATCAGTCCCTTTTTGATGCCCAGGGCTTTCCAGAGTCTATGTAGTTTAAAAATGTTTCAGTTTCCAATTCTTAACACAACCCTCTTGTATCCTGTCCCCTAGTGTTAACTTCAGAGATTCTACAGAGAGAATATGGGGAAGAGTCATGGGGGGAAGAATGCATTGTGATTTACCTTGATAGTAGAGCCCCGATACTTGTTTTCTCTGGTTTCCTTTGCCACCTAAGGCAGACCAAAGTTAAGTGCTTCTGCCTTGTTAACATTTCAGTTATCTGGACTGCAGCCTTTCCCCTGTTGGGGTACTGGTGGTTTCTTGCAGATGCTAATTTCTCAAATCCAACTACATAAGCATATGGTGGTTTAGTAGAGAAAGGCCCACTCCAACACGAGTGGTGGGCCCTCCCTGGATAAATCACAGGGGGGCAAGCAGTTCCCTGTACACCCCAATGTGGGCCAAATGCACTCGGTTTTGATATGCTTCGGTCTTCATAATCTAGTCATGTACAGCATTATGAGGTTAAGGGCTGTGACTCCTAATCCAGTTTTCTCTCTTAAGCATCAAGCCAGCTATGGTCGATTTCTATTCCTCAATGTTCCCTAATTAGAAAATGGGAATAATAATCTATGCTTTTTAAACTCTTTGCCACTGGTTCTTAACCATCTTGGGGTCACAGATCCCCTTGAAAACCTAATAAAGAAAGAGACTGCCCCCACCCCCACTAATTGCACACACACAAGCGACATTCTGCAGCACAGGTCACTTAAAGCTCATTCACTGGCCCTACCTGGTCCCTGAACGTATGGGGTTAAGAATCCATCTGAGATGTTATGGCACTGAGTGTCAGGCAAAGGGAATGGAATTCCACAGGTATCTTAGTATACAGAATGCCCAGGAGAGGAAATCAGGCCTTTGAAATGATAACGTTGTTTCCAGTTAGCTATATCAAATTGATTACCAAACCGGCCTTCTAATTTTTTATTCTATGAAATGATTCTGAAATGCACATTGATTTCATTTTAAGAAGGGAAAAGGTAGTGGAAAAATACCATAATAGTTGATATATCTATAGCAGCATAAGTTGAAATTAATATGTGCAATCTTTCATTTGCCTAAGAATAAGCTTATACATGCCCCTATTTTTAATGATATATAAATGACAGATTTCTAAGTTCAGATAGTTCAAAATTATTTCTTAACATCAGACATAGGAATTATTAGGGAAAATGCAAGGAAAATATAGAAATCTTAAGCACTACACAATTAAAGAGGCATTAAGTGACTACTGTACCCAACAGGTTGAAGAACCATGGTTAAGTATAAACAACTCTCAGAGAACAAAGAAAAGGGAAAATGACTGACAATCAGGGGAAGGAACATACACTAATCTAAAGGCTGAGAGAGGTGGTGATTACTACTTTAAAATTTCGGTCTCAGGGCTGGGGATGTAGCTTAGTGGTAGAGTTCTTGCCTCGCATGTGCAATCCCCAGCAACACAAAAAGACAACAAAACCCCAACAACCCCTTCAATTTTAGTGCATCTAGTCACTTTTCTGTTATTCAAAGCTACTTTTATGTTTTTTAGACAGAACCAGCTTTGACATTGGCTTAGGTTAACCAATTTATTATTTAAGAAGTATAACCAATATATTTTTATTATAAGCCAGCTACTGATGATAATATTTCACAGCTAATATTTTGAGTGCTCATTAACACTTTTCATAGACTCAGTCCTGTAACTTTTCCAAACTTATGAGACAAACTATTATTATCCCCATTTTAAAGATGAAGAATCTGAGGTTACAGAAGTCAAATAACACAGCTGTTACATTAGATACTGTAGTCCCCTAAGATCAGAAATCAGGACTACAACATCGAATTCAATTGCTGTTAAAACAAGAATGCACCAAAGTTTAGTTTAGTCCCATAGAATACCAATAGTCAAGAGAAGAGAACTCTCTCTCTCTGCAACTGAACTCCCTTAGAAGCTCCTGTCTGGACTGGGCAGTCAACATCTGGAGGGGCTCTGATACAGGTGAGAGGGCACGTGCACCCTTGGGGTCATGTAAAAGAGGAGCCATCCCTGAAGTATAATCAGATTGACCTTATGACAGGTGCTTAATAGATTTCCTCAGTTGGGAATTTAAGGTAAAGCCTCTGCACAAAATAACATATAAAATAGAGCTGCCTCTATTTTTTTTTTCTTTCTTTTGGTGGGCAGGCCCCAAATCTCATCTGCACTGTTTACTGAATGTAACCTAACTGACACACCTTCGTGTATAAGCATATTTACTTCTTTTATTAGTTTCTGCTGACAAAGAAATAAAAGCAAGGTACACACCTATTCTAATGGCATTTCTCTTAAATTTCAGTTTTTGGGACACCTGGCATCTAAAAGGTGGGGGGATAGTGGAGGAAGTATGTGGGTTTGTCTCAGTTCTAAATTGCCATGATTCCAAGGACAGATAATGGGCAACCATTTCCCTGGCTTTATATATTTTCCTAAACATAAAAGCAAATTGGTCTGCCAAATCAAAAGCAGCTTATTCTAAATTGGGTACCAAAAAGCTGCATAAAATGAGTTAAATTTCATTATAAATATTCAGATTTTTAAGACACATTAAAAAATGCAGCAGAGATTCATGATCATAAGTTGTTGTACTGACAAATCCTAAAGGTACAAACCTGGTAGGCAGATACAGGAGATGCAATATAGGGTGTAAGAGAAGTTTGAGTGATCATTCGGTTTGTAGCAATACTGTATGGTGAAGGATAAAATCTAGAACAAACACAAAAGCCTGTATTAAGTAATCCTTTAAGTGGAATAATTCATAAAGAAATGATATTCTCCACCCTTAATTTCCCTCAAGCCATTAGGCATTTATTGTAACAACATACCCGTTCTGTATAGCAGCTGTGGTTGGGTCGTAAGTGAGTGTCATTCCAGCCTACAGGAAAAAGAAGGACACAAACATTCAGCTGGAAAGGCATGATTTGATAATGCTATTTCTTAGACATTGCAACATAAGACAGTAACAGTAGCATTTGATAAAACTGTTTTTTTTTTTTTGTTACAGCCAAGCATAATTATAAGCTCAGTAAGAGAATTAAGCTCTAGACCTGTGCTTGTCCCATATGGTAGCCATTAGCCACATGCAGCTATTTAAAATTAAATAGAAAAATTCAATCTCTCTATCAAAACAGCTACATTTCAAGTGTACACATGGCCACAAGTGGCTAGTGATTATCACTGGATGGTCCAGATTCTAGAACATTTATTTTCTCCAGACATTCTGGGACCTGTATGCTATTTTTAAAAATTATGTTAACAATTCATTGAAAATAAATATAGAGAAGTGGAGGCCCAATAATTTATTAAGAAATTGAAGATTAAAAAAAACTATTCAAAAGAACAAGATTAAATAAACATACAACCCCCCAAAAAACCCTCAATGACAAATACATTTATTTTAATATTATTTAGAATACTTTTTGAATATAATAAATGTAAACCCTTCTAAACGGTTATACCTAAACCATGGCATAAAAGACCTTCAAAACACTCATGCAATTCCATAGCAATTTAGAGCCTCCTACTTAGGCAGCTAGCTGGGGAACACAGTTGTTTGCACCATCTATGTGGAGAACTGTCACTTGGTGAGCACCCCCGCCCACACACACACAGGGGGAAGGGTTTCAGTCTGAGCATTACTTGAATGAAAACCTGCTGGCAGAAAGGTGTGACCAGGCAGCTGAAGGGAGATGCCTGTGTGACCTTTCGGAGCTGCCCACGATGGCACACCCACACTGAAGTTAAGAAAGGACTTACAAGTCTCACCTCTCCTTCTCGGTGCCATGGTCTTCCATTAGGGATGTATTTGTTTGGGTTCTGTCTCTTCTTCTGTCCTCCATCCGCAAATTTGCACAATAAAGGTTCTGTAGGAGCTGAGTGATCAGGGAAAAATATTACAAAACACAACCATGTGCACGCACAGGTGACAAGCATAACGGGATTTCTTTTCTAGTGGGAGCGGCTCGGGAGCTATGAGGGACCTAATAGAACACTGCAAGGCAGAAGCTTCTTCAGACCCTTAGAAAATCAGCCACTGGTGAAAGATCTTAGTATAGAATAATGCACTGGTTATTATTTCCAAACCAGGGCATCATGAAAACATCTGAAGGGCCATTTTGTTGAAGAAGCAAAGGAATCTTCCCATTCACTTTGGTGCTTTTTTTTTTTTTTTTAATGGGTACTTCTTTGCATTCTGGCTTCTCTACAATTCTGCCTTTAGACAGTCACCCAAATAATCTTCAAATGAAAATAGGATTGTGCCACCCTGCACTCCTCCAGCTGCAAATGCCTCTGTAGCTTCCCATTAACATTCCTCATAGGGACTTCCACTCCTCCTGGTGGAAAATAAGTCCCCCTTTGTAGTATATACCCCCTATTTGTATTTGCAGCATTTCTAACAGTCTGTGTTCCTTGGTGCCTGCTTTTCCTTCCCGTGGGCTCCGTCATCACTGCATCCCCAGTGCCTAAGAAAAGGGCACTTGGTAGGTGCTTCTTACCTAGTGGCTGAATCAATGAATGGATACACACAGACCCTCATTTGTTCCTGGGACACGGGGGTGAAGGCTGTCATCGCGAGAAACCTTCCAACACCTGCCTGTCCCATTTAAAGACTTTTCTGTACCTGAACCATCCCACTTGGAGAGTTTTTTTTTTTTTTTTTAACCAAGTGTCCACCTCACAAAAATGAGACAAAGGGAAACCTAAGCAACGAATGTAGAAAAGATGCAGAGATTCTTTGAAAGGAGACACATTCATTAGAACTAAGAGACATAATAACAAACCACAGGCAGCACAATAGGCCACCCCTGACTTCCTTTTTCAATTTGCTTTTCTGAGATGGAAGCAGCAGCGCATTCCTGGAAGTTGTGCATTTTTCTGCCTGCGTCTAGTTAATGTAATAAAGGCACTCACACCTTCCCGTCTGGCTCCCACATTCCATCCTTTGTCTACTGTAGAACCATGATTACTACTTTCAAGTTCTGTTTCCAACTTAAATAACCATGAAGAGAAAAATATTACTTGTGTAAAATTTACTCCTTTCTCCTTTGCCGCTTATTATCCTAATTCATCTCTTATTTTATATCACTATTATCCACCCGCTAATGACAGGGTAGAGGCAATAGTGTCTCTCAACATTTCTCTACCAAAACACAAAACACCGAACTGTATGTGATTCCGTCTCGGTGAGCTGTCTCGGCTGTTGGTTGGCATGCTTTTCCCTTCCTGGGTTGAACCACTCCTGAAGGATGGGTTGGAATGGGAGTCATTTCTGAATGGCAACTGTACTCTGGGTATGCTTCAGTTTGGATATGATTTCCTAAATAGTTCACATGTTGGAAGCTTGGTCCCTAGTGTGGCAATGTTTAGGTGAAGCGTACAGGAAGGTCTTTAGGTCAAACCTAAGAAGGAGTGGAGGAAGTAGTTCTTGCAGGATCCTGTGTTTTTACAAACAGCAAGCCCAACCCCTGAACTGCTTTCTGGCTTGGTCTTGTAATAATGCTCACGTAGTGATACCACCTATCATGTGGCTCTCACAAGAGGCAAGCTGATACTGGCACTATACCCTTTGAATCCCCAGAACTATAAGCTAAATAAGCCTCTTTATTATAAAGTCATCCAGCCTCACACATTTTGTTATAGTAATGAAAAAATGGACTAATACAGGTAGTAGTTGTTCAGAGTGAATATGTTAGGTGTCTGGTGAGAATTTTAGTGTTCCTTTGTTTACCTTCTTGTCTCCAATACCTCCACCTGAGCTTTTGGAACTTCCATAGAAGGCAAACTGGGTATGACAGAAGATGGACTGCAGCCAAATCCCAGAATACAGATGAACCATACTACTTGTCTTTTCAAAAAAATCGTGTTTTTAGAAATTCTACCTTCACCAATTACAGATGGTGAACAGATACAATGAAGCAAGAAAGTTTTGTAATCACTGATATTAATTCTTCTACAGGGTCATTAAGGGACAGGTAGAAACTAGGGCTGAGAATATAACACCCAAGTAGGAGGGAATAAAGGACAAAATCTTCTGCAAATAAGGACTTTTTATACCTGGAATCTCTCAAAGTTACTCACCTTTGTGGGCAAATGCTACTTAAAATTCTAGCACTGAAACTCTCCTCAGGCTCCTGGGTCAATGTGAAAGTGTGTTAAGTGCAGGCCTAAAAGTGCAGGCTGTGTGTGTGTGTGGTGGGGGTGGTGGGGGGTGGTGGTGGCCTCTCTTGACAATGACGGTCAGAACAAGAACTCAGATGAAGAAAGGCAAGATCTTACTCTCTGCACATCTAAAAAGGGCCTCATAGTAGAATGTTTTCTCCAATGATATTTAAGGTTATAAGATTTTGCTTCCACATACTCCTGTAGGGCAAAAGAGTATAATAAACTCTGTGGAGCTGGCACTTTGTGGGTCTTCACTGTGACAGACACTTTTATCTAGAGGGTTTATAAAAACTAGCTCCTAGACTGAAATTTAACTAATTTTTAAAAAGCGCTTCCTGTGCTCAGTGATTGATACAAACTGTTTCCCTCGATTAGTATAATTCTTTCCAGGGAAAGAAGGTGACCAGGTTGCTCATTCTGGAAGCTTCCCTTGGGCTGTCTCGGTGGGCAGGTGTGAATGAAGGCAGTTTGGTAGCAAGACCCTGGTGCATGTTGAAGCTCACTTGTTAAATAAATGGCCAATGTCCCTATTTGGATGTAATGTGCTTCTAATGTGTTTTCATCTAGATTCTGTCCTATCAGAGAAAAGCAGATCTCAGGTAAGAATGAAGTCTGCTAAAATATGTAGTAAAGGCATGTTTGCAAATACATATGGCATTTAAAATGAAACACACACACACACACACAGAAACACATGGAACAAGATGTAGTTGAATCTTTCAAAAATGAATTATATTTACCACCCAATTTTTGTGCTGCCATTAAGATATGTTATTTTCCTCTAAAAGCAAAAAAGTAAGTAGTGGAAACAGTGTGTATGGCAGGTATCTCTTAGGCCAAACAAATTTCTTGTTTTTAAAGAATGTAACCAGTGGAAATGACCCAGTTTTTACATGTTGCTGGCTCCTTGTTTCAGTGAACTAGGAGTGCCCGAGTCTTGCTTGTGAAGCAATATAAAATTCTAACAGCTTTTTTCTTTTATCAAAATTCTCTCTGGTCTCCTTATCAGTTGAAGTTTTAATGCCCTACTATGTGTCAGGGACACAAGAGCCAGTGATACAGTGGCAGATCTGAGTTCTCGCCTCCAGGGGGCATGCAGTTTAATGGGGAAGAGAATATTTCCAATCTTATGAAAACCCATTTAGTCATTTACAGGACACAGTACTGTTTTTAGAGAGATTTGTTTTAAATAGAAAAGTTATGTGGAAGCAAAGTACTGATGTAGGGACAGCAGCCGTCTGTCTTTCACAATTGCTGCTCCATTGACTTGGAGAGTGACGAGGAAGAATGCATGCCTGGAATTTAATGTTTCTCTGTGTGCTCTGGAAAAGCAAACTAGGTGAAGACTTACAGGTGTTGTAGGTGGCAAATGGGCTTAATTTATTTTATCTGACACCATGATGCTAAGCAAGGGTAAGAGGATTTCAGTTAGATTTTTGCACAGAAAAACAAAACACCCAGATCTGTGCCATGAAGCCACTTATTTTTCAGTGTGTGCAAGCTTGTTAAAAATTGAGAGATCTTTGGTTAATCAATCTCTCCTGTGATTCCTTCAAAATGAGGGGATGTCTTAAGTTTGCTTCTGGGAGCCTAATGTGCAGGCTACAGGCTGAAGGGAGATGGTGTGGGATGTTGGCATATTCTACAGAGGGATCCTCCAGCAAGCCTCTTTGGTTGTGTTTTAAAAGGCAGATACTGAGAACAGGAAGTGCCATAAATACTAGTAATAGGGCTATGAGCGAGGTTTGGGTATATTAATTTCACAAAATTAGTGTGTGACAATCTCTCTCTCTCTCTCTCTTTTATTTTGGTGGTGGTGCAGGGGATTGAACCCAAGGCCTTGTGCATGTGAGGCAAGCACTCTACCAACTGAGCTATATACCCAGCACCTGTGATAATCTCTTACATGGTCATTTTTCTATATTAGTAACTCTTTATTGTTCAAAACAATAACTGCAAAGAGTTCTAACATGATTTGTGATTTGAGACACATTCCTGAAATTAAAGTGATATAGAAAGTATATAAACTACCCCAAATTGATTATTTTGCTAAATATGCACAGTGTTCTAGGCTGAATTTCCCCTTAATAAGGGTAAATCTCAGATATCTCATGAGGTCTCTCACATCAGATTCTTTTCCTCATCAACCGACAGAGAAGTTATTTTCTTCCTCATCAGAACTAACAGGAACATGCATCCCCAAAGCCTGACAACCATGGTGTGACTGTGACCTTGCACACTTGTGAGAAGCCCAAGGCAACACCTCAGATGCAAACACTGATCATAGGTAGTATCCGCTGAAGAGCCGTCTAAGATCATGGCATTACTGGACTCTTCAATATGCCCTCAACCAAACTTGAGAGAGGGATGATATTTTACAAATGCCTGATTGCACATCTCTGCAGTTTCCTTAACCTGTCTTTTGAACTCAGACTCTACAGTGATTTGGGCTCAGATGTTGAAATGGACATTTCCTCAGCCTGTCCTAAGTGAGGTCTTTGTGCATTTCATCATCACACATGACAGTACTAACAGATGGAATGACCTCTCCTTCCAAAGTACCATTTTTTCTAGTTATGCAGTATTTTATCTCAATTAACATTCTGCAAAATGTAAACTGCCCTCGATAGAATTTTCTCCCATCAATTTTGGAAAACCAGATCACTCAGCAACCATCATTAGCTTTCTTTGTGATAATGTTACTTTAAAA